GGTGTTGAAGTTCATTAGTTAGGCCAACTTTGCAAAAGTCCCTTTTGTTCTAGTCCCTAACTCAACTCCATGCCTTCTCCCATAGGAAAGCTAAAGAAAATGGAAAATGGAGTTGAATTCAACCTTTGGCTGCCTTATCTAGTTATTATTGTTCATGGGAATGAATTGGAGTGGAGCATCTCGTTCAAATGAATGGCCATGAAGCTATAATATCAATATCAAAGTAATGAATTATCTGCTCCGCTAGTGTTATATGAAGCTCTTTTATCCTGCAATCGACCATTTGTAAGTGGGATTCCATTCTATGTCTCCACCGGAACCATTTTTAGGAGTCGTTTACTTTTGTGATTGAAATCATATTTTATAATTTTTTAAAAAAATTTTGTTTGAAATTAAATTTTTTAATAAAAATAATTTTTTAAAATTAAAAAAAAAATATTATTTTCATATATTTTCAAATAAAATATATTTAAAAAAACAATCACTATTTTATCTTCAAACGGTGCATCACAATTACTTATCTTTAATTTATACTTCGTTGACTAAATGAAAGAAGAAAACTTCTCGTCAAATCAGCTCTGGTGAATATATTCAACATCTTAAAGCAAAGTTCCATTAAAAATAGTAGGTGGCTGTCTCATCAGAAGTGCAGGTTTAAATATTGCAGATTAGCTATTAGTTTATTCTATTTGCCATGAACTCGTTTCATTGCAAAAAAGACAAAAAAATGCGAATACATGGAAATAATTTTATCTCTTAAAACGCAAATAAATATCGATTTCTTATAGTTCAAAATAAATAAAAAATGTAGATTGGTTGACGGACTTTTCCCCTACAAAAAAAAAAAAAAACAAGTATAGAAGAACAAGCTGCGTTGAGTGCATGTTCCCTGGCTTAGCTGGATGGATGGATGGACGCCGCAAAAACTGAATACCAAAACACGATAAGAAAAATTAGCAATTCAACCCGTTTGATTGGTCAGCTTTTCTAGAATTTGACTTCATCAATTACAGTTCGTGGTGTGTGTGCGCATTCTAGATGCTGGTGTGTGTATATATACATATGTAAGTTAAGAACAAACAAGAGAACTAACGAAAAATGGCGGCGATGTATTCAACAAGACAGCTGCTGGCCGTATGTGTCGTAGCTTTATCATTCTATCTTTCACATGGAAGAGTAATTCCCAGCTTTAAAATTAAAGCAGTTAATCTTGGTGGTTGGCTTGTTACTGAAGGATGGATTAAACCCTCTCTTTTTGATGGCATCACCAACAAAGACTTCTTGGTTGGTACATGATTGATTGTGATATTGTATATATTTGTTCTGTCACTTCATTTTCATTCTGATGGGTTAACGATTCTCTTGGATCATCATGATCGTCCTTGATTGTCAAATTTTCTAGGATGGAACCGGGCTGCAGTTTAAATCAGTCACAGTGGGGAAGTATCTTTGCGCCGAGGCAGGTGGAGGAAACATTATTGTTGCAAACCGAACTTCTGCCTCAGGCTGGGAAACGTTTAGTGTAAGCTGTTTCTTTTTTTACCCTAGTTCATACAGTTTCACCATTACGTGTGATCACAGTTTTTTTCTTTGGTCGTTGAAGCTATGGAGGATCAACGAAACCAATTTCAACTTCAGGGTCTTTAACAAACAATTCGCGGGTTTGGATACCAATGGCAATGGGATTGACATAGTAGCTGTTTCTAGCACACCTGGAAGATCAGAAACTTTTGAGATTGTGAGAAACTCTAATGACACAAGTCGTGTCAGAATCAAAGCATCCAATGGATTCTTCTTGCAGGTGAATCAATTGTAAACAAATATAATATCTTCTAACCAGCTTAAGGCTTAAGCATAGGTCATGTTGATTGTCAACTGCAGGCGAAAACAGAGGAGCTGGTGACAGCTGATTATACAGGTGACAGCAAATGGGGAGATGATGACCCATCGGTATTTGTGATTACCATTGCTGGAGGGTTGCAAGGAGAGTTTCAAGTCACTAATGGTTATGGTCCCAAATTAGCCCCGAAAGTTATGAGGGTAAGAACCTACTAAATTTATAGATAAGTTCATGATTTCCCGTTAATCATTAGCTCCAAAAAAAAGTCATTTCTACAGTGTAAGTTCATGATTTCCCGTTAATCATTAGCATCAATTTTTGGTTGACTGGATATTTTTGGACGGTTTGACTTTGAATCAATTTTTTTTCTCCGGTTGAATCCTTAATGCATAGATCAAATACAAGTGTGGACATAGTATGGAAAATTTCTGGTTTTTAAAGGGCCCAGGAGAGGCAGTGAAGCTGACTTTTACATCTCAGAAATTCCCCTGTAGCCTTTGGAAATATCCAGCTTCGCTTCACTGTAGCGTCTAATGTTTACTTTGATAACGATTTTGAAGATGTACTAAAGCCAGTCTGGTAGAAAGCAATTGATGCCCTAACTGATGATGTCCATCTCGCAGGATCACTGGAGGACATTCATTGTTGAAGATGACTTCAAGTTCATATCTCAAAACGGAATAAATGCTGTGAGAGTACCAGTTGGATGGTGGATAGCAAGTGATCCCACGCCTCCACAGCCTTATGTAGGCGGGTCTTTGAAAGCATTAGACAATGCCTTCTTATGGGCACAGTATGTACATCTCCATCTATACAATCCACGCTATTCATTGCCACCAAAATTGGATGCCTTTTATTTTCTAGAAAAAAATAAATTATCTAGCCTATAAATTAACACTGCTCCAGTCATTAGGTTAGTTATCTAGTACATAAAACTTGAATTGTGGCCAAAATATTTCATTAATAGCCATCTAATATGGTAACATGAAGTCTAGACAATTGGAACTCATAACCTTAAACATACAACAGTTCTGGCATGCACTTAGGCCTAGATAGATTTTGTTCAAAAGATTGAAACTTTCTTGGCAGTGCACAAAAATAACAGAGTTGTCCTTTAGGTATGATAGAGGCAAATATCGTTTTGTGCTATCTGTACGCACGACTAGTTTGAATATTATACAGCTACAACCCCCATGTGATTTTGCAGCGTAAACTTTTGCAGGAATTATGGGTTGCAGGTTGTAATTGACCTGCATGCAGCCCCTGGCTCCCAGAATGGCTGGGAACATAGCTCTTCTAGAGATGGCTCTCAAGAATGGGGGCAAACAGATGAAAATATACAACAAACAGTTGATGTTATAGACTTCTTAACTGCCAGGTAAACGAAAATATAAATAAAAACATCCTGGGACTCCTCCAAAAGTAGTTTTGTGGTAACTAATACGTGCAAGTATCTAGGTATGCCAAGAGCCCAAGCCTTTATGCAGTTGAACTCATGAACGAACCTCGGGCACCAGGAGCATCTCTAGACAGTGTGACCAAATACTACAAGGGCGGTTACGACGCTGTCCGCAAGCATTCCTCAACAGCTTATGTGGTGATGTCAAATAGGCTGAGCTCAGATGATTCAAGAGAGCTCTTTCCTCTTGCCAGTGGCTTAACCGGATCTGTTATTGACGTCCATTATTACAATCTCTTCTCTGATGTATTTAACAGCATGAGTGTTCAACAGAACATTGATTTCATAAACACAAACAGGTCGGCCCAACTGAATCACGTGACCACATCAAACGGTCCTCTTACTTTTGTCGGTAAGCTCTTGATTTGTTTAGCATTGATTTGGGCATGAACGGAGCTTTCCTAGTGTCTATATTTTAGATGGATTGATGCCCTATCTTTTGGTTTGCAGGAGAATGGGTGGCAGAGTGGACAGTTCAAGGGGCAACGAAAGAGGATTACCAGAGATTTGCAGAGGCCCAGTTGGAGGTCTTTGGGAGAGCTACTTTTGGGTGGGCCTATTGGACTCTAAAGAATGTAAACAATCATTGGAGCCTGGAGTGGATGATCAAGAATGGCTACATCAAGATATAGATTTCAACACGGAATCTCCAGTCTAGTAGGTCTTCGAAATATATATATATATTTCACAGAAACATAGTAGGTCTTCGAAATATATATATATATTTCACAGAAAACATGCAATGCCTGGTTTATAAGGTTAAATAGCAGTTCCTCTTGGATCCAATTTTTGGAATAATAATAAATTTGAACATCTTACTAAAAAATTATCAAAACCAGGCAGCAAGAACCAATATTTCCCTCCCCAAAGAGGTTTTAGCCTGTGTTAAAGCTGATGATAAATAGACAATTTAAAAAAAAAAAAAATTCTCAAGTAATTTCTTTGCGTTCAATAAGGAATAATATTCTGCGTCTGCATTTGTGTGCGTGTGCTTTTTTTTTTGAAAAAAAAACACCAACAATGCATTTAACTTTGAACTAAGTAGTAGAAACAATTACTTTACAGCAAAAGCTTCAACATGATGATTCTGGATTTGTAAAGTTCAAGCAAACGAGACCCACCTAGTCCATGAAATTAAAGTAAACAACCATTTCCAGCAACCAAAAACTCCAGTCATGGTATGAACACAAACACAATTCGTGTAGCCAAAATCCCAACACAAGCAGTGCCCAAAAACCCAGCGTATACAGCCAAAATCCAGCACAAGCACGACTGAAAAATCCGGAAAACAACCATTGCCAAAACTTTAGCAGTACCTACAAATCCAGTGCACACATTACCCATCAACAAACACACAATGCCAACAATTTCAGTACAACAAGCACACATATTATCAACTTGTCATAATGTACATCAAATTCCAAAAGCATACAAGCTTAAAACAACTTGAATGAATTAAAGTTCAATATTAGAAAATGCATGAAATAAAAGTAAGATATCAAAAATAAAATTTATTAAAAATAAGTTATTTTACAAATGTAACGACAAGTCATAAAACAACACCTTCATTGATTGTTACAAACTTATAAATAAAATTGAATTAATCACAAGAGAGGGAAGAGGTGCTAATGAAGCTAAGCTAATACTAAATGAAATGAAGAAAATAAAAAATGAGTTACATAAAATATGGATAAAAAATGGTAATATAAAGACTAACTTTGTTAATGTAAAGTTATTGTTTATAACTAATTTAGTATGTGTAATGTTAATGTTTTTTACTATTATCATGTTCAACAAATAAAACAAAATATAACTATTATAATTAGCTAGTGATCAGCATCTAATTTATCAAAGACATGTATACTGACAAATGATATGACAAAACAAAGCATTTGCAAATATTTTAAGCTTACATAATAGCCTTTAATGTTTTTGTTCTTGATTGAAATGGTTAAAATAAATCCATATTGCTAAAAAGCACCACTCTTTTACATTGTTCAACTGATACAATTAGTTTGGGTGGAGTATTAAGAGGCTGTAATAGCAGTAGTCTAAAATTTTGAAAATCATTAATTAGTAATAGAACTATAATAACAGTAATAGAATTATCATGTACATTTATGAGATAACCTTTGTTTGTATTGAGGTTTGATAGGAGGCATCATTTCTTCCACCTCTTCCAACTTGAGGTACCATCTAATATTTGACCAAAAATAACTTCACCATGTCATTTATAAGAAGGAATATATTTATAATTTTTTTTCTTTTTATTATTTTTATCACCTTCCTTGTATTCATTAGTAACCTCCTCATTTACATTAGAAGTGTCAACATTAAACCTATCACTATCAACATCAGCCTTCTTACTTCTAACAATAATTTTATCCCCTCCAATACTAACACCAGAATTATCATTGCAAAACTATCACCATCATAATCTAAATCAAGACCTTTTTTCCTAACAAGTAGCACCACTCTATTGCTGCTATATTCTAATGAATTAACAATATTTAACAATAATAAAATATACTAATAATGAATCTTAAAATCTCAATAAGAAAAAGTAATTGTAACATGCATGTTTGTTGTTGAATTCTAGATAATAAAGATAATAAATTATAGCAGCACAATGTAAAAAGAACAAAATTTTATATTTGAAAGAAAAGAAATAATAAGAGAAATTAATTAAAAACTAATGATTTTGTTTGATATGGGTCATATAAATGAGGAAAATAATTAAGAGAGAGATTAAAAACTAATGATTTTGTTTGATATGGATCATATAGATGAGGAAAATAATTAAGAGAGAGAGAAAAAGAGAGAAATAAATTATAACTTTAAGAGATAGAAGATCTCATCTTTCATTTTGTCTAATTTAACATATAATATATATGAGGTTAATTTGGTTATTTTATTTGATTTGAAATATTAGGTTGATCTAGATGTAAACTATAATATTTAAAAGAATAAAGAAAAAATAAGAATATAATTAAATTATATGATGTAAAGTGTAATTTAAAAAAAAAACTAAATTAATTGTAAAATCCATAGCAATTATAACATAACTTTTTTTTAATATCAATCTATTCAATATCACTAAATATGTTTTTTTAAATAAAAAAAATAGGTAAACCACTGTAGCAATTTATAATACCTAATTTTTTTTCATCCTCTAACTTTTTTAGATGAGCTCTTAAAAGACTACCGGTCACTACTTTAAAAAAACCCTATAAATGGACAATGTAATGACAACTGCCAAAAAAAAAAAATTAGGAGTGGACGGTGATGAGCTCTTAAAAGACTACCAGTCAGTACTTTAAAAAAAACCCTATAAATGGACAATGTAATGACAACTGTCAAAAAGAAAAAATAGTGGACGGTATGTTGTATGCTCTAAATGCACCTGAGATTTTTAATTAAGGTGAGGCCTATCAATTCCTACCTTTTTTTTCTTTGTTTTTCTACTATTATTTTTAATTTTATTTTTTAGCGTTAGGTTTTTGTTGATTTTTTTATTGATTTTTTTTAATTTTATTCTTCAATATTTATGTGATTTTTAATTAGACTTTATAATTTATTTCAATTTACTTTTTGTAAGTTTATCATGATCTCGTAAGTTTATCATGATCTAAGACAAACATCCCGGTATTTGATTAATACTCAATTTTATAAGTATTTATTTTTTTATCATATAAATAAGTAAAAAATAGTTTACAAAAAAAATAGTAAATTCAGTAGAGTTCATAACTTAAATTATGAGTTTGGTGATCATGAAATGTAGGTCGATCCAAAACATTACTATTTTAATATTTTTTTAAGAAAAATATGACATCTTAGATTTTTTTTATAAAATTAAATCATGTTTTTACTTGTTTTTTAGATTATTTTTAGACAAGTTACTTTGTTTGAATTATATTAAGGCAACTCTAATATGATTCAATTTAAAACTCGGGTTGGGTAAGGAGCTCAATCAGATCGTTTCAAAATTGATCCACTGGGATGGTTTAATGATAATATTAAAAAATTTATAGTAATATAAACATTTAAAAAAATTAAAAAATCAAAAATTGATCCATAGACAACATGAAACAATTATCAAGCATCGTCCTAACAAGTTCTACATAATACATGCATCGTCGATTCTGTTTTGAAGGGCACTCTCCAATTAAAGTATAAATATGATTAATGTAGAAATATCACACGCTTCAGCTGGTGGGTACCTTAGCAGAAATACGTTTTTCTTAAGCAATCACTCCTCTTAAGAACTATTTTGGCAAATTATTAAAAAGGAGACATCAATTTTATGGAAATTAATCGGGACATCTCAATTTCAAGTACGCTGCTCGCATGAGAGGGTTCCAAAGTCTAGCCAGGTGGGACCACACTCATTAAACGATCCCTTACGAGACTCCTTGTACGTCAAGAGGTAATCGTTGTACCTAGCAATAATCATTTTCATTTTTGAGAACTCATATTTAACCTACAGTAAGCCCGTTAAAATTAAGTTATTGCAAAGTAAAGACGTCAATACTATATAAGAATAACTATATTATTATTAACTCATGTTACCCTACAGGTAAAATTAATATTATTATTAACTCATGTTACCCTACAGGTGAAATTAATTTTTTTAATAAATATATATATATATATATAAAATATTTATATATTACTAATATATTTTATAGTAAAATATTTTTTTAAATGTGTGAGAGTCAATTTAACATAGACAATAAATAAAGATATAGTTTGATTAAAAAAATTAATGATTATATCTTTTTTTTTTTAAATATTAAAACAACAATATATTAGAATAATCTAGGTCAATCTTAGATAACTTGTCAAATTCATGACCTAGGTCAAGAGACCGAGATCGACCTATAAAAAGTAAATCGAACCAAATTATAAACTCTAATTTCCAATCAATCTAATATTAAATAATAAAATTTAAAAGAAAGTTTAATTAAAAAAATTAAAAAAATAATTCAAGTTAATTCGAGTTAACTAGCTAAACTTGTGACCCAGGTCATTAGACAAAGATAAACTCATAAAAAATAAATTGAAATAAATTATGGAGTTTAATTCCTACTCAAACCCATGTTAAAGGATAAAATTAAAAATAAAAATAATTAAAAAATAACCCAAAAAATAACTTAAGTCAACTGGATTAACCTACTAAATCCATAATCTAGGTCATAAGATTATAGTAATCTTTGAAAAAAAAACTTATAAAACCTAATTTAGAATCAATTATTAAAGAATAAAATAAAAAATCAATTAAAAAAAACTCAAATTAGTTGAGTTAACCAACTAAACCTGAGACTCAGTTCACAATATTAGGATAACTAGATTAAAAAAATTAAAATAATTTATATTAAAAAATAAAATTAAATTTTGAAAAAGAAATCAATGATCTAATAAATAAGATCAATTAGTTCATGTTAATTAATAATAAATAGATGTACTAGAGAGATTTTCTTTAATCATGAAGTTATTTTTTATATCTGTATTCAGGAATGGGTGCGCAATCTAATTTTAGTTGGGGAAAACTAATATACATATATAACTAAATTAATTAAGATACAAGAAAACCAAAATTTATAAATTTTTAATATAAAGTTTAAAATTTTACATATATTATAAAAAAATGCTTCATAAAATTATATTTTTTTCTTATAATTCACATTTGCTCCCTACAAGATTTCATATGCTGAAAATGTTATGGTTCCTATTATCAATACTTTGAAATATATTCTTTTTAATATAAATAACCAAATAATCATTCAACCAATTATTCTTATAACTAACCATAAATTATTTATTTTA